GTGAAACTATTCCACAGGAAACCAGAGAAACAGAGGTGGCAGCAGCTCGCCTGGGTGAAGTAGGTCCTGGAGGAGTTGGAGCCCAGGAGCTTGCTCTCCACATGCTGCTGCACCCGCTCCAGGATGCTGTCCTCGTGCAGGAAGTGGACCTCGTGCTTCGTGGGGTGCACGTTGACATCCACGTTCTGGGGGCTGATTTCTAGGCTGGCAGAAAAAGAGACCAATCACCTCACACGATGGAGGACTGGGGGCGGGGGTTCACACATCGTACATGTGGTGGCCAAGCCGTGGGGAGACCCAATGACAAAATGGTCAAAACTTCAGGGTCAAGTCTGAGTGACCTGGGTTCCAAGCTGACTGCACTACGAAAAGCTGTGTAGCTTTGGTTAAGTTACATCATCTTTCTTTACCTCAGTTTCCTCATTTGTGAAGTGGAGATTAATTTCATATAAAGCATTTTACATGTAACTGGCACGTTTATTATGTCAGCTGTTGTTATCATTCCAGAACTAGTGTAATTTTTTATTATGTGACCTGGGGCAAGTCATTTAACTTCTCTGGGTCGGTTTTCTCATCTGTAAATGTGAACCTGTCCCCTACTTTTAGTTGGTATTACGTGAATATCAAAACAAGAATATATGTGAGAAAACTTTCTATCACTAAAATGTAATACAAGTCCGTGTAGCCCTGGTTGGTGCACCGAAGGGTCGCCAGTTCAATTCCTGGTCAGGGCAATTCCAGGTCGCGGGTTCAATCCCCAGTGGGGTGCATAGGGAAGGCAACCGATCGATGTTTCTCTCTCCCCCTTACTCTCTAAAAAAAAAATCAGTTGAGAGGATATGCAAGCTATCAACTTATGCCTCAGCTCCAAATCCATCTTCCATTGCTTGCTCTGAGATAATGGAGCTTTGCAATGTGAACCTTTGTCAGTAGGGGGCACTGGTGGGCCCCAGAAGGCGGAAGGGGTTTCTCTGCCAGGTTAGGGGCAACTTCTGCCTGGTTCAGGAGGCAAGCTCACATTTGTGTTACCAAGACAGCACCTGGCACCTGGCGGCTCTCAGGGAGATTCTGCTATGGGAGTGAACAAATGAAAGAGAACGGCGCCCTGCACTGTGAGAAGGGACAGAACACCCTTTGCGGGTGGGGCTTGGGGTTCACTCCCAGCAGCTGTTGGCCAACCATCTGTTTCAAAGAGGACAGCATGATGGAATTCTGTTTCTTGTGCCTCGTGGGCGGGCAGTTTGGTGCTACATTACCTGAGGTACAGGAACGGGTGTGTGTTCTTGGGTAAATATGCTGCATACACCGTTTCAATGGCTTTTTTTAAGGAAGCTGACTCTACCAGACGATCTAAAAAATAAAAGGGAAGGAAGCAGCTCACAACCGTCCTGACGGGAGAGGTGACAGGGGAACAGTCACGCCATGCCATGAGATCACCTCGGGAAGACCACCTCTGGGGGGACTCCCACATCAGACTCCCAGAAGGAAGAGCCCCCTTTCCCTGTGGCTCCTTTCCCCCATCCCACAATGGGCCTGGGCGTCCCTCCTTTCGCCAAGTAGCAGTAGGTCCTGCCTGCCCACTTCCTGCCCCCTCAGTCAGCCACACGGACTGCCCTTGCCCCTGCCCTTGCCGGGCAGTGGGTAGTCTGACGTCAGCTCTCAGACTTCTCATCCTGCCAATACACACTGGCTACTGGTCACACGTGCCACGTGCTGGGAGACAGTGGGCTGGTAAAAAAAACTCCCCCCTTACCTCCCCGACACCAGCACTACTAGAGCGCTGTGTGTGCAAGTGGTCAACTTAATTCCAATCAGAAGCGTGGCCTGAATTTATGAGGGAAGAATTCTTCTCTGGGTGCTCACGACATCCCCCTCAATAGCCTCACTGTGCTGTGTCCCAGGCTGGAGCAGGTGTGGGCACTCACAGAGGGACAGCTGGGGGCCCTCTGTGGAGCCTTCTGAACTTGAGACTTGCCACAGTGTTCTTTGTCCCTGCCAACTGAGCGCGCCTAGCATGTGAGACAACCGAATAAGAGCCTGACCCCTCTCTGCTATCGGGAACTTGGCTGCCAGACCAGATTAGCTAATGTTACGCAGAGCCTGTGTGGTAAACAGCCCACCAGAAGCATGGACGTTGATATACGCAGAGGCACTCACAGGGACCTTTGCTTGTCTGTTCGGTAGCTAACCATATGTTACAAAGCAGTTACTCTTCATGGTCAGGAAACAACAAATGAAAACATTTTCTGAGCCTTGGTGAAAGCAAGCTTTGTTAGAAGTCCTTCTAGCTTACGTCCCTCCCAACGAAGCTGGAAAAGACCCTGCCAAGTACAGATTAGCTCAGCAGAATGTGACTATAAAACACTGGCTCTCTCCTTACTGTTTCTATATTGTTTTGCACAACTGCTGTCATGTATTACTGAGGACATTCATAGCTGGTTATCACTATAAATGGAAGGGGGTGTTATATCATTTCCAGTAGCAAGCAAACAAAACAAAAATTATAAAATAGTTATGAATTGCTAAAGGACCTATGGGATAAAAATGGGAAGAACTAAACAAATGGAAAGATGCATT